GAAATAAAAGACGTATGGTCTTATTCAACCTTCTAAATGACACTAAAAAGGCTCAATAAGCTCCTGAGGTCATTAACACTAAATCTTTCATTTAGAATACAAGATTAGGCTACTATGAAGATTTCATTGAGATTTTATTTTTAACTTCTCGACAGAATTCGGTAAGTCCGAATCTGCCCTCACTGTAGGTAAAAACTACCACTTTTTTGCAAGCATTCACGATCTAACGTATTTTCTTGGATGACTATCAAAGAATGCTTCTAAGTGAAGGTTTTTAAAATGAAAACGCTTTCATGAATACGTTGGAGCCTAGATGATCAGACTTCTACATCTGCCAGCAGTTCAGGTACAGATGTCTCGTTAGACACAGCAGACCAAGCCAAATTAATTTTGCGCGAGATCCTTGATAGCAAGATTTCGCGGCACATACAAAAGTTTCGATAAAGAGACTTGATAATTGCATTATTCCGGGAAATAAAAACAAATCTGTATAAGTGGTACGGTAGGGGAAGAGCTTGAATCACCTGAAGAGAAAGTGCTTCTCAGGAAGAACAGGAGAATAAATTCTCATCCAGGAATTCAACTTCAATGACAGCCTTTAAAGCCTCTGGATTCTGGACTGGCCATAAGGAAAGTCGTCGTTAGTAATAGCTGAAAAATCTAGGCCGTGGCAGAGAAAAGTGAAATTGAGTCGCGCCATAAAGTCTACTCATATCAGTGTAAGCAAAATCCCAGTACCACTCTATAAATCCCCTTAGGCGAGATAGACTTACTGAGAAGTGGGCTGACCTCGTTGTAGCAACTTGGTCTTGTTGTCAGGGTAACTTAGAAGAACGCAGCTAGTCAGAAGTCCTCTGCCATAGTAGTTGTCATGATTCCCGGCATCCATCAGACAGTGGACTTGGTACATTCTCAGACGTTTTGCTCGCATCTTAGTCGCCGCCATCAGTGAGTGTTGTCATTATCCGCACCAAGCGACGAACTCGTCAAAGAGACAAGTGAAGTCAATCCCTCGACAAACGTTCTGCCTAAAACGGTCACACTATCACTCCTCTTTCTGTCCTGGCCTATCTATTCACTCTTTACACTCTGATCCCACTGCCGCCCTATCACAACTTTTCACTTGTTTACATTCCACTCATCAAAATGTGTGCCCTTTTGTTACCTCATCACACTTGCTATTCACCCCGACCCCCTCTCTTTCGATCGACTGATCCGACCCGGGCCTCCAATCCGGATCCTTTCATTGTCTTTTGGATCCGTTCCTTCTCGTTCTGGTTGACCGATTTCACTCGGTTCTAGTCTTAGTGTGCATTTCGCTCCAAGCGCTATTTCTCAAGGCCCTAGAAGCACTTACGCTGCCGCTTTACTGAGCAGAGTGCCTAAGCTCTGGTTCCCATGCTTGTAGATATCAGGCCTTCCCTTCACGAATCCTTTCCTTGAGTAAACCCACGGCCAGTATGTTTTTTTGTGTCACTTCATTTGGGTAGCCATTTCCGAGGAAGATCGTAGTCAATTTGTCCAGCTCCTCGTCCCAGAAATCTGCATCCGTCAGGCGTAGGCTTCGGATGATCATACTTCTGAATATTCCCATCTTTAGCCTGTAATTGGGATGGGACCGGAAATTGAGTATCATCTCAGCATAGGACTTCTTTCCGAACAATTTATTTTTGAGCGTCCGATGAGAACAAATCATTTAAACGTCCAGGAACGATAGCAAATCACACTCCTCTACTTCCATCGTGAATTTAATTTTTCCATCAATCTGGTTTACAAACTTAAGAAACTCTTCCAGTTTTTCTCTTCCATGTGAACAAAGTGCAAAATAATCATCCAGTTAAACTTTTTGGCAAACGTATACGTGAACAAAATGAAAGAAAGCATCAAAATGGGACTACTACAACCGGCAGTGCTCATGCGGTTCATGAATAATTACTTCGAACTTTGGTCACATGGAAGAGAAAAACTCGAAGAGTTTCTGAAGTTTGTAAATCAAATTGATGGAACAATTAAATTCACGATGGAAGTAGAGGAAGGTGAGCGGTTACCGTTCCTGTACGATTAAGTGATTCGCTCTAATGGTACGCTCAAACAAAAATTGTTCAGAAAGAAGTCCTATGATGAGATAATACTCAATTTCCGGTCCCATCACAATTACAGGCTAAAGATGGGAATAATGAGGAGCATGATCATCCGAAGCCTACGGTTAACGGATGTAGAATTCTGGGACGAGGAGCTGTACAAATTAACTAGGATCTTCCTCGGCAATGGCTACCCAAGCGAAGTGATACAAAGAAACATACGGACCGTGAAAAGCCGATGGCAGAACGTGGACTATGAAAGGACAGTAAGGACGTTGAAGGATTCACAAAAGTGAATATGACAACCTTCCTGCGAACTAACTCAAAAACTACGGCTAATATTGAGTAAATGGAATATCTGGGTGATCATGAAAGAAAAATAAACACTTTTCACAAGTCTACCGACGCAACATGAAAGGGTAGACAAATTTGATTGTTCAGGAGTTTACTACATATCATGCAGCGGCTGCGGACAGAAATATATTGGCGAAACAGGGAGGAAAATTAGCACACGAATCAAGGAACATCCGACACTATGCAGGAAAATGGATAACGAAAAATCAGAACTAGTGGAACACATCGCAGAGACTGGACACGAGATCAATTAGAAGGCAACATAAAGGAAAGCTCCATACGCTAACAACGCAAGGAAACGGAAAATTAGGGAGGCCGTTGACATCGTTGGGGAGAAAAATCTAATGAACAGAAGATTGGAAGAAGGTGTAGTTAGCGATAACTTTGTCTACAGCCTAAGCAAACTCGGTTAAAACAAGAATGGAGCAAGACCAGCAAAAAGTAGACGCCTGGATCAAGGATCTATCGCGATGAAAAAAATGGGGGCAGAGGTTTTTGTCAATGAGCGATGTCCGTTTCGAATAAATAAATATAACTTTGGGGGCATAGCAGTCAGGGCGCTGGGCAGACGAATAAGCAAACCGCTACTGAAATTCGGCGTTATGACCAAAATGTACTAGAAATCCACTTAAGATGCCTCATGCGACCAGAGATAGG